GGGGATTGCCTTTTTCCTAATATTTCTGAGGAATCTCCCATGGGGCAGGTTGTTGCCCCTCATCCTCCTGCTGGATGCCACCAAGAAGAATCTATCTCCATTTTGTTTTCTACACCTACCCATTGCGTAGTTGAAGTGAGCACAAAGCTGAGAGTGAAGTAGTGTAAAGTCTCTGAGTGCCTTGAGGTTTTCTTGCGTCTTCTGAAGCTTCCATTGATAAGACATTGGATGAGAGGAAACACCAGGTGATTTTATATGGGAGCTTTTATACTAATTTGCCTGTTGTGTCACTCCCTGGTTTTGCAGTGAGTGAGAATAGGTTCTAAAGGGAAGTTGGAGACTTCCTTAAGCAGGGCTGAGGGTGCTGAAGTCTGGACATTTGGTGTCATTAAGCATGGCTACTTTCTGACTCCATCTTCTCCTCTCCAGGATAGCGTGGGCAAAGCTGCTGCCAGTTCCATCCATTCCCTGTATGGCACCACCTTTGAAGTGGGGAGCATTTGCACCACTATCTGTGAGTATCACACCAGTTGGAGCTTTATGGGCTATCCTAGGGGAAAACAGACACTCTGGTCTCCCCCAAGGTCTCTCACCCACCAAGTCTCCCCTGGAATTAGTGCAGCTTCAGCAGAGCAGCACCCTAAGTCAGATACTGCCAGCTGAGCGTTCACACTGAAGCCTAGTCCTTGTCCCTCACAAATATTCACAGAATCCCAGACAACAGCTGAGGTTGGCAGGGACCTCTAGGGATCCCCCAGTGCAGCCCCTGCTCCAGCAGGGACACCCAGAGCACGGGGCACAGGGTGGCATCCAGGCGGGTTGGAGATCTCCAGAGAAGGAGCCTCCACAGCCTCTCTGGGCAGCCTGTGCCAGGGCTCTGGCACCCTCACACCAAGGAAGTTCTTCCTCACATGGTCATGGAGCTGCCTGGGCTTCAACTTGCACCCATGAGCCCTGGTCCTGTCACTGGCCACCACCCAGAAGAGTTTGGCCCCATCCTCCCTACACTCTCCCCTCAGCTATTTGTCCATGTTGCTCAGATTCCTCTCAGCCTTCCCTTCTCCAAGCTAAACAGGCCCCGCTTGCTCAGTCTTTCCTCATTTGATAGATGCTCCAATTCCTTCATCATCTTTGTCACTCTGTTACCCCCATAAAGCTCCTTCCTGGGGAGACCAATGTCACAAGCCCCAAACCAGGAATTCTGTCACTTCCCTGTGTATGGCTCCATCCTGAGAAACTTCCAGCACCTTCAGCGCAAATTGGCTCTGGTAGCTGGAAGTGCTGCATGGAAGCATAACCCAGATCAGCCCCCTGTGCATCTCTTGTGGCTTTTTCTCCCTTTCTCTTTCAGACCAAGCCAGTGGCGGCAGCATCGACTGGAGCTACGACTATGGCATCAAATATTCTTTTGCCTTTGAGCTGCGGGACACTGGTACTTACGGATTCCTCCTGCCCGCCAGCCAAATCATCCCAACAGCAGAGGAGACCTGGCTGGGTCTGAAGACGATCATGGAGCACGTGCGAGACAATCCGTACCAAAAGTCAGGGTGGGAATCAGCTGTCTAAATCATAGAATGCTCATAGAATCATAGGATCATAGAATGCTTAAGGTTGGAAGGGACCTCTAGGGATCACCCAGTCCAACCCCTGCACACGCAGGGTCACCTAGAGCACGTGGCACAGGACTGCGTCCAAGCGGGTTTGAAGAT